TGAGCAGCAGAAGTGAAGAAAGGCCCCACCCTGCAGCAGCTGTGCTGCTATAAATTTTGCTTCGAACTCAGTTAAGCCGCAGGGCCCCACGGAGCCGTACGCTCTCCATAGTTTATCCAAGCCAGGCAAACTCCTCTTGCTGCTGCTGCTGCTGCTGCTGCTGCTGCTGCTGCTGCTGCTGCTGGTGTTGGTGTTGGTGCTCTTGCTGCTGCTGGTGGTCTTGCTGCTGCTGCTGCTGCTGCTGCTGCTGATGGTGGTGGTGGCGCTGATGGAACTGACGCATACGGATGCAGATGCTGCAGTGGCTGCAGCATGAATGGCTCCTGCTGCTGCTGCTGCTGCTGCTGCTGCTGCTGCTGTGTTCCCTGATGCGTCTGCTGCTGCTGCTGCTGCTGCTGCAGTTGCTGCTGTGGCTTCTGCTGCTGCTGCTTCTGTAGAAAAACTCTCAGACTTGGCCCTAACAGAGGCTGCAGCAGCGCTCCGCATCGTCTCCCCTTGCTGCTCCTCTTGCTGCTGCTGCTGGTGCTGCTGCTGCTGCTGCTGCTGCTGCTGCTGTGCTGCATGCCAGCCAAGCACGAGTTTAACTTTGGCTCTGCGAACGATGAGTCTTCTGAGGAGGACCTGAAGGTCCCCGAGAGCTCTAGGCATGAGCAGCTGAAACACTCGGCTTGTCCCCTGCTGCTGCTGCTGCTGCTGCTGCTGCTGCTGCTGCTGGTGCTGCTGCTCGCGGTAGCTGCGGGTTGCTATGGGCCTGATGACGTGGGGGTTGTAGTGCTGCATCAGAGCTTCTTCTCTAAGAAACTGAAAAGGAGCAGCAGACATTGTCTTATACTCTTTTAGTGCAAGAGCACACACACCCACAGACACGCAGCTGCTGCAGCTGCTGCTGCTGCTGCTGCTGCTGCTGCTGCTGCTGCTGCTGCTGCTGCTGGTGGAGGTGGAGGTGGTGGAGGGAGTGCTGCTGCTGCTGCTGCTCGCGGTGGTGCTGCTGCTGCTGCTCGGTGCAAGCGTTGTTACGCTGCTTACAGTGCTGCTGTTGCTGCTGCTGCTGCTGCTGCTGCTGCTACTGCTACTACTCTTACTGCTGCAGCTGCTGCTGTTGCTGCTGCTGCTGCTGCTGCACGGAGACGCTGCTGCAGATCGCTTGGCCCGAGGGCCTCTCCGCTTAGTTGGAGACTGCTGCTGCTGTTGCTGCTGCTGCTGCTGCTGCTGCTGTTTCCACTGTAGGTTGGGTGTATCATTCTTCTGTTGCAGCTCCAGGCTTTGCTGCTGCAGCAGCAGCTGCTGCTGCTGCTGTTGCTGCTGCTGCAGCAGCAGCTGCTGCCGCTGCTGCGTCTCTCTCCGCCACTCTGCTTCGTAGACGCTGCCGAAGGTCCCCTGGCCGAGCCGCGTGCTCTTCACAGTGAGCCACCCCACACCCATCCACCATTCCAGCCGCTGCTGCTGCTGCTGCTGCTGCTGCTGCTGCTGCTGCTGTTGGTGCTGCTGCATTTGCTGCTGCTGCAGCTGCAGAGGATGCTTCGCAGCCGCAGAACGAGGCAGCTTCAGGTGCTGCTGCTGCAGTGCTGCAGCAGCACGCATGGGCCCGTCACTGTGGGCAGGCCTTGAATGCTGCTGCTGCTGCTGCTGCTGCTGCTGCTGCTGCAGCAGCAGGTGCTGCTGCGGTCGTGGGTTTACAAGCGGAGCAGCGCGGCGACGCATCAGCAACGACTCCGAGGTTCCTGTTTCTCCTGCTGCAGCAGCAGCAGCTGCTGCTGCTGCTGCTGATGCAGCAGCACTTGAATAGAAGGGAGATGCTGCTGCTTCTAGGGCAGCAGCAGAAGAAGACAGCAGCAACTTGGGCCCCCCTCTATAGTCTGAAGCGCTCCTGGATGCGTTTGCTGCTCGCTGCTGCTGCTGCTGCTGCTGCTGCTGCTGCTGGGGCTGGTGTTGCTGCTGCTGCTGCCGTTGACGATAATGCTCTTGCTGCGACTGCTCGTGCTGCCGCTGCTGCTGCGGAGTTTTCTGCTGCAGCAGCAACTGCTGCTGCTGCCGCTGCTGCTGATCCAAAGAAGCTACAAAACGTGAGAAACGGCTGCTGCTGCTGCTGCTGCTGCTGCTGC